AACAGTCTAGTGAAAATATAATAAGTGCCTGAGTTTTAAGACACCCTTAAATGCTAACTGATCGACCAGGTAATTGCCAGGTCCAGGGTGATTCTAATATACACTCAGCTCAGCTATGACATAAAGAAAACGTTTCAGAAAGCAAGAAAATTCATTTGAAAAATCTTAGCTAGATGTGAGGAACCCTGGAGGATGGTCATCTTTTCTGTCCAGTGTGTACAGCTAAAATGCCAGAGATGTGACTCAGGAGAAATATTTTTTTCCGTCTCCAAGAGGGTTAGTACATCTTCCAAATTGTGTCTGCTTTTAGATTTAAGCTGAATATCAGCAGAGTCAAGCAGGATAAAGCTTTCTCATAGAGTACTGTGTTGAATCAGATAATTTGGATCAGTAGTTGAACTGAAAATGTTCTCGCAAAATATCACCTGTCATATATTCACGGCTCCACATCCCCACGGCAGCTTCCGCACCAGTACCTTATGCATATGCCTGGCTGGTAAGCCATAATTTCAGCACAACCATGTGTGTGCACAGCTGTCCAATTGCGAGAACAAGGAAACACCAGAGACTGGAGCTTTTTCAGTGGTACACAAAGGTACATTGCAAGTTAATAGGTTAATAAAACTCTAAAACTGAAGTCAAGGGGGCACCTCACCAGAGTTATATCCAAAGTTACAGCACATTTTCTTAAAATTTAATGTGCTCCTCTTTCACTCGCAAAGAAATAAAAGAATCTCACCATAATGTTTTTAAACAAGTGAGTCCAGATTTCTACCTATAATATGCCATTGAAGAAAATCCATTTTAGCAAGGTGTAGGCGTTAGCTTACTGAATGGAAAGGGCGTTTTTTCAAGTGCCGTCATTATAGTTGGTGAACCCAAATATCTCACAGTGTTTTTTGTCTGTTTAGAAAAGCTGTCCTCCAACTCACTATGCAGCCGAGGAAGCCCATGGGATTTTGATCCCTTTACCTGCACCTAGTGTGTCACCATGCCTGGTGTATGTATGCTGGCAATAAAAAACAAAACAAAACAAAAAAAAACAGGTCTTTGTGCATGCCTGTGGCATTGCTGATGCTGTGATAAAAATGCTCAGACAAAAAGCAACTTACCAGCTAAAGGAGTTTATTTTACTTTCAATTCCAGGTTATAGTTCATCATAGCAGAATACATTGGCTGTAAGAAAATTGTCACATCATTCCACAGCCAAGAACAGAGAAAGAACAGATGCATAAGAATCAACTTTATGCTCAGCCAGCTTTCTGTACTCTGATACAGTCCAGAATCCTTGCCCAAGGATTGGTGTGGTCCTCCTATATCAATTAACTTAATTATGGTACTCTCCTAGAGAAAGTCCATAGACCATTGCAATGGAGACTAACCCTCATTGAGCCTCTCTTGCTTGGTGATTATAAGTATGTCAAGTTGACCATTAAACTAAGCATCACATCTGGCAAGTATTGTACAAAGAAAACTCTTCAATGTCTCCTCTGTCCCCCTTTTTCCTCATTATGCCCACCTCTCTTTTATCACTGAACATTTGAGAGTATCTTTATCATGGGGCCCTTAAACACTTTGGCCTTCTACCTCTTTTCTAAGGGAGATTTCTTCAACCATGTCACCTTCTCTACTTCCCCTTGGTCTTACCCCCACACTTATACTTCCCAGGCGTCTTTTCTTTCCTTAGGCATTATGGTTTTTGTCTTTACTTCCAACTCTGTTCCTGTGTTGTGTCTGCTGACATTCTCTGATTGATGGGTTTAGGATCTATCTTGCTGTTACTGTTTTTGAAAACAGAAAAGTAGCCACTTATCATATTAATTGATACCTATTTTTCATATTTCATGTTTTGGGGGTACCTTTCTTCATGAAGCAGAGTACCCTTTCCATGCAGAGACACTTTTGGGATTGCTCCTACATTATCCCACTTACCAACAGTCTTTGGTACTGATACTTTTTTGAAGTGTTGTATGCTATTTAAAGTCACATTCTATCATCTTTCTAGCACTACAGGCCAGCTTTAGGAAGTTATTTGCTATAACAAGTTTCAAGAGTAATTAGTGTTGAAGAGTGAGAAGCCTAACATCACCTACACCGAGGATCTCATGGGCAAAGTGATAATTCTCAAACAAATGCAAAACATCCAATTGATGCAACAACAACACAGCCATCTGTTGTATTTTTTTAAGCAAATGGTTGAAATAATACTTGATATCAACATGGTTTTCACTAGTGAAAGGATGTGACTCTTTTTCTAAGCTGAAATGAACAATCTAGGCTGTAACTTCAAGTTTATTTCCTATGAAAAGAAACAAGATAGAAAATGAAAATGGCATGAGTGAGAGGTGGAAGTAGGATTTGATTGATTGACAAGTTGCTGGTAGGGACATATAGCTGGGCATGCTCTGTCAGGATGGGGGATGTAGAGTTTGCATCCTGACTAACAATACTCAGCTAAAGAACTGGTATGAAACGTTCCTTTTCCCCAGTATCCTCACCTATAAAGTGATATGACTAGGGTTCCAGCATTGTAGCTGTGGAGATGACTAAATGGTGTCTGAGAACTGCCGAGTGCTGGCTCTTGAAGGAAGAGATTTTTCATGTGTTCTAGAAGCAGCCAAAAAAATGATAGTGATGCCTCTAGAAGACAGATGGGTAAGGATGACAAAAAAGAATGCCATTATGTTATCTGTAAGTCTGAAGACTGGGTTTCCTGGAACCAGGGAGGGAGATTCTTAAATTGCTGCTGATGATAAAGGTTTGTGTAATTCTATTTCCATGCTGCCTCAACACTAAGACACATAAGGCCAGAGGGAAAGCTTGTTTTGTGGACTTCTGATGAGTAGTATCAGAATTACCTGAGAATTCCTTAGATATTCAAGTTTGGAGGTCTCATCATTGATTAACTGAGACAGAAGCCAGAGGAGTGTGGCTTTGGAATTTTCTGATATGGATACAGGCTAAAGTCAGAAGCATTCTCTGTTGGGCCACCTTTGCCAGAATTTGAGCTGATTTCCTGGAGAGATCATGGCTGTGCTAGGACAGAAATAGGGATAACACCTTTTCCATTGTGATGTATCTGGTATGGAATCTTATAAGATTGTGGCTACACAGCCACAATTTGTCTAAATATATGAACAATTTAAGAGAAAATAACACTTCAAAATGAATTCTAATTGCAAATCTTTGAATCGCATTTTGTATTTTTTATGGAAAAAGGGTGACTTTAATGTCAAATTCTGTAATAGGACAGCCGACAGCTAAATCTGCTCTTCAACTTGAACCTCTAAAACCATGACTTGTGTTTAATATCTCATATGTTTTCTATTCAAGGTTCCATCACAATTCTTCCAAATTATTGTGCAAAAACTATATTAATCATCTTTCTTTCAAGGATAGCGTCATTTATTCTGACCATACAACTAGTGTTTATTCACCATAGAAACTCTTGAATATTCACTAACATATGAGAGGGGGTAAAAAAAACTTCACCCTCCATTACATAGATACAACAATCAACCTGTTTCACTTATTGACGTATTTCTAGCATATTCCCATGAAGTATGTTTCATTATGATATATTATTATCTATTTTACATATAAATATAGTATATATATGGATGTCTTTACATACTGTTTTCCATAGACTTACTAATGGTCTGGTGTTTCTCACAGGAATCTTTGGCACACCCTATATTCCTTTAGTTAGTTTAAAGTCCTAAGAAGCTGTTTTCAGTATCTCCACCATCATAGTTGAGGCTCTTCCTTGCTCCTATAACTGTCTGTTTGTTGAGATCTTAAGTTGCCTATAACACAGCACTACACAGATTGCTCAAATACCACTTGCCTTTCTGATATAGTTCCGTAGTAGAAGGCAGGAACTCCTGCCCCACCTTTTACCTATCCACACTCTGGGTAAACTGTTTTACTGTATTCACAGAATTTCCATGTACATTGTTTTAATCATCTAACTTCTCTTTCTTTCATATCCCCACTATTGACTATACTATTTAAATGTGTGCTTCAGTGCAAGGACCTCCTCAATTTTAACAAACCCCCATTACCACCACCCTATTCCTTGCCCTTGCTTCCTTCCTAGTTTTAGGTACTGTTTTACAGACTTTCTGTTTTACTTATACAGACTTGCCAATTGTCTGCTTTCCCTGGATGGTATATCATCTCCATAGAAATTATGACATTCACTTATATCATCTTCTATGTGCTATTCTAAGACCTACATATCTTTACTTGATTTGTAAACATATATATGTGAGACAGGAAATGAATGGATATATAAATGGATGTGTACAATGAGTTATTTACTCTCAAATAAGTCAAACCTCTGATTTTAATATTTCTTCATGCAGGGGATGGTTAGTGAATAAGTGCCTAGTTAAAAATGTCACACTACAGGGCTGGAGAAATCACTGAGTCATGAAAAGGTCACTTACAGCAGCCTGTGCATCTAGTTCCAGGCCACATTTTACCCTCTCTGGCCCCTGTGAATGCTAGCACACAGTGGCATGCATATACATTCACATAAATAAAGTAAATCACAAAAATAAATAAATAAATGCCACACTTCCCAAAACTTTCCTTGGCACCTATATTAAAGATAATCCCTCTCTTTATGAAAGCATCATCATCTCTATGTTTTTTCTACTGGCATTAACATACTAAATCATGTGACAATTTATATGTGATCTTTCACATTGAGTTATATCTAACCTCCTTAAATGCAGCCATCCATTATATTTCGGTATCCTGTCATCCTTTGGCAATGACATACAATAAATAGTTTTTAAGATAAATTATTGCCCAAATTGATGTGGTCAAAACAAAGGAGATTACACATATAGGCATGTTTCATTTGTTTGTTTGGTAAGGATGTTCAAGTTTAATTATACAAAGAAGAAGTAAAAAGACTACCTCATGTCCTGTACATTCATTCTTGTTTTGAAAAGGAAGTGACTATGTAAGCATTATCAATATCTTTACAGATCATAAATGCTGCAATTGCTTTGGCATCAAGACCGAAGAGTCAAGTGGTCAAAAACACCATGGAAATGTATAAGCGCACATGGGAACATTATATACATGTTCTCACCGAAGCAGTGGATGACATCACCAGCATTGATGACTTTCTGGCTGTATCTGGTAAGTTTAGTGCTCATACACATAGTACTATCAATATTCTTTTTTTATAATTTCCGATGTGTGTTCATGTTTACCTGCACATGCCATGGTACATATGTAGAAAACAGACGACAACTTTTCCTTTTCTTGTTGTACCATATGGGTTTTAAGAATCAAACTCAAATCTTCAGGGTTGGTGGAATGTGACTTCATACACAATGTACCATACCATCAGGTACTTTATGAAGTAGGTTGACTATGACTATATATAATCAATATATAAAATAGAAGGATACTTTATTCTTGAATGTCTGGAGGTGGGGTATGGCTAAGGAACAAAACAAGGCTATCCACTATCTCCATATCTCTTCAATATTGTACTTGAAGTTCTAGCTACAGCAATAAGACAACAAAAGGAGATCAAAGGGATACAAATAGGAAAAGAAGTCAAGCTTTCACTATTTGCTGATTATATGATAGTTTACATAAGTGACCCAAAAAATTCCACAAGGGAACCCCTAGAGCTGATAAACACCTTCAGCAAAGTGGCAGGATACAAGGTTAACTCAAAAAAATCAGTGGCCCTATTATATACAGATGATGAAGTGGCTGAGAAAGAAATCAAAGAAACATCACCCTTTACAATAGCCATAAACAGCATCAAATATCTGGGGATAATGTTAACCACGGAAGGGAAAGACCTGTATATCAAGAACTTTGAGTATTTAAAGAAAGAAATAAAAGAGGATACTAGAAAATGGAAAGATCTCCCATGCTCTTGGATTAGTAGGATCAACATAATAAAAATGGCAATCTTGTCAAAAGCAGTCTACAGATTCAATGCAATCCCTATCAAAATTCCGGCACAATTCTTCACAGACCTGGAAAGAACAATAATCAACATATATGGGAAAACAAAAGGCCCAGGATAGCCAAAACAACCCTATACAATAAAGAAACTTCAGGAGGCATCACCATAAATGACTTCAAGCTCTATTATAGAGCTATAGTCCTGAAAACAGCTTGGTGTTGGCACAAAAATAGGCAGGTAGACCAATGGAAACAAATTGAAATCCCTGATTTTAACCCACACACCTATTAATACTTGATTTTTGACAAAGAATCTAAAACTATACAATGGGGAAAAAAAGCATCTTCAACTAATGGTGCTGGCATAACTGTGTATTGGCATGCAGAAGACTACAGATAGATCCATGTGTATCGCCTTGTACAAAACTTAAGTCCAAATGGATCAAAGATCTCAACATAAATCCAACCACACTGAAACTCTTAGAAGAGAAAGTGGGAGATACTCTTCAAAGAGTTGGTACAAGAGACCACTTCCTGAACATAACACCAGTGGCAGAGACACTGAGATCGACAATTAACAAATGGGACCTCCTGAAACTATAAAGCTTCTGTAAGGCAAAGGACACAGTCAACAAGACAAAAGGCAGTCCACAGAATGGGAAAATATATTCACTAACCCCACATATGACAGAGGGCTGATCTCCAAAATTTAAAAGAACTCAAGAAGCAAGTCTCCAAAATACCAAAGGATCCAATTAAAAGGTGGGGTACAGAACTAAATAGAGAATTCTCAGTAGAGAAGGCTAAAATGGCCAAGAGACACTTAACAAAGTGCTCAACATCCATAGCCATGGGGGAAATGCAAATCAAAACAATTTGAGATACCATCTTAACTCCTGTCAGAATGGATAAAATCAAAAACACGGAAGACAATTTATACTGGAGAGGATGTGGAGAGAGGGGAACACTCTTCCACTGCTGGTGGGAGTGCCAACTCGTACAGTATGGAGATTCCTCAGGAAAATGGGAATCAATCTACCACAAGACCCAGAAATTTCACACTTAAGCATATATCCAAAAGAGGCAAATTCATACAACAAGGGCATCTGCTGCACTATGTTCATAGCAGCATTATTTGTAATAGCCAGAACCTAGAAGCAACCTAGATGCTCCTCAACTGAAGAGTGGATACAGAAAATGTGGTACACAATGGAGTACAACTCAGCAGAAAAAGCAATGGAATCTTGAAATTCACAGGTAAATGGATGGCACTAGAAGAAGCCATCCAGAGTGAGGTAACCCAGTCACAAAAAGACAAACATGGTATGTGCTCATTCATATATGGATTTCAGGCATGGATCGGGATAGTGCCAGTCTGCACTTCCATTGACAGAGAGTCTTGGTACCCAAGAGAAGAGGAATGAGGCAAGATCCTCTGAACAGATGGGGAACACGGTGACAGGTGGTAGAGAGTGGGAGCTGGGAAGAAGAGAGGGGGAGAAGAGAAAACGAGAGTAGGTCATGGGGGAACAGGAAGTTTGAATAGAATAGGGGGAAGAGGGAGTCATAGGTTAGAAGACAGATCAGGCACCATTGTGACCTCTAGTGATCTAAAGGGATGACACCAATTGGCAAGCTAAACAATAGTGGAGAGACCACCTCGAGTGCCCATTCCTGATAATGAACTTGATGCCTATAACCATCCTGGAGCCTTCATCCAGTGACTGATGGAAGCAGAGGCAAACATCCACAGTTAAACACTGAACTGAACCCAAGGAACCCAGTGACAGAGAGAGAGGAGCTGTGAGAAAATTGGCAAAGAATGGGCTGGCAAAACCAGCAGAGACAGCTGATCTGAACAGGGGAGAGTTCTTGGACCCCAGACCAACAGCTGGGAGGCCAGCATGGAACTGATCCAGACCCCCCGAATGTGAGTCAGTGAGGAGGCCTGGGCAACCCTATGGGGCCCTGAGCAGTGGATCAGTGTTTATCCCTGGAATACAAACAGACATCGTGAGTCCATAAAACAAATAGGGATGCTCTCTCAGTCTGGACTCTTAGGGGAGTGCCTGGACCCTACCCTGAGTGAAATGACAGACTCTAAATATCCCCTATGTGGAAGGAAATGGCTATAGCGTTGGAGGCTGGCGGGATGGTGGAGGGGTGCTCGATGAGGGGAGAGAGAGGGAACTGGGATTGACATGTAAAACAAGCTATTTAAAATGAAAATAATAATAAGAATAATAATAAGAAAAAGTTTCATTTTCTACAGGGAGATAGCCAGTTGTCCTCACACCTTTTGTTGAAGATGCTGTGTTTTTCTGATGTATTATCACTGTCATTTCTTTGTAAAACTGTAAGGTAGCTGTAGATCAGCCTCAATTCCATTCTACTGATCAATGTGTCTGTTTTTAATGCCAAAACTAGGATTAATTTATTACAATGACTCTGTAATATGACTTGAAATTAAGAATGATTAAAAAAAAAGTGGATTAAGATTTTACTGTGTAGCCTGGCGGTGGTGGTGCACGCCTTTAATTCCAGCACTTGGGAGGCAGAAGCAGGCGCATCTCTGTGAGTTCGAGGCTGTGCTGGACCAACAGCCTCCAAAACAATGCAGAGACCCCCTGTTTTGTAAAACCAAAAAAAAAAAAGATTTTACTGTGTTTGAGAACATTTTCTATGGAATGGAAGAGAAAAGGAAAATCATAATTTACTGTATAGTTCTTCTTCCAAATGTGTTATAATCATTGTAACAAAAGCCTATACAAGTAACACTGTTACAGTGTCAGGCAATTGGGAAAAATGTTTAAAAGTAAGCTGTTTATTGAATTGTTTAAATGAACCTTGAAAAACTGGGAAAACATACAAATTAAGAGAATCTGTGAAAGGACTTATTTGGTTTGATGGACACAATTTAATGATTTGAGAGATTCATGAGATCTCTCTGTGCATTTAGAACCTTGAACTTAAAAAAAATGTTTTACCTTTTAGGTTATAATCATAGTTTTTTTCCTTCATTTCTCTCCTTGTAAATCCTCCCAAATATCACTCATTGCTCTTTTTCAAACCAAAGGCCTCTTTTTGCATTAAGTTTTCATGTGTGTGTGTGTGTGTGTGTGTGTGTGTGTGTGTGTGTGTGTGTGTGTGTGTGTGTGAGTATTAAGTACATAAATACAACATGCTTAATCTATATAATGTTATTTGTATGCATATTTCAGGGCTTTGGTATTGGATAACCTATTGGTATTCTCTTCCCTGGGGAAGACTATTTCTCCCACTCACAGCATTCCTATATTTCCTATAGTTCTTTGTATAAGACTGAAGCTCCATGGGGTTTCCTACATTCACTTTGGCATGTGTATTGTTATTGTCTATGTTCAGCTCATATTTAGGCAGTCATATTCTTGATACTTTATGGTTATATACTTGATGTTATGTGGTAACACAGCTTCAATTAGCTTAGGGATTATCTGGATTAGTTAAATGGAAATTGTGGAAGATCCTCCTCCAAGATTTGTGATTTCACTTGTGCTGTGTAGTTGACTAGTTTCTTAGTATCAGGCACAAGTTCCCTCTTGTTCAGTGTTTAGTCCAGTTAGAGAGCTGTTGGATCCATCCATCCTTATGGGTACAATGTCATGCTTGTGTTTCATAATCATCATACGTAGGTGAGACTGTTGGTTCCCCCCACCACCACCAATTTTTAAGCCATAAAAGCCTAAAGTAACTCATTAACATCCTAAAAGGCCATGATGTCCAGCCTAGACTACTATACCTATCAAAACTATGCACTATAGTTGAAAACCTTCATCCAAAAATCCAAACTTGAATAAAGTACAGAAAATAATGTATCAGTCTGAAGAGAGTAATGAACATAGCCATGAGATCCTTGTAGATTATCTCAACTTTACAAAGCCAAGTCCAAAGGTCAAAGAAATTACCATAGAAAATGATGACGTCCTGTTAAACATGATTCTCAGAAGTGAAAGTGGAAACCCCCCAATATAACACCTGGTACCAAACATGTAAGATTGATGGTATCCCTTAATTTTTTCTACTACTATGTCCAAAAAGTTAAAGAATACAACTAGCACATAAAAGTACAGTAATCAAAAGGTAAGGGTCACCTTGCTGAAGGAATCCTAAACCAGACTGAATAAACCAGGTCTCCGGTCCCCATATACTCAAAACAGAAACACTCCTTAATAAGAGTCCAGAAATAATGTACAACAAGATTCTTCTATGCCACTTACTAAAATCAAGGAACAGCCTTGTCATTATTAGTTTTGACCTTCCTGATCTCCAAGCTAATGTTTTCATATGATCATATATCTTTGTTCAATCTTTGCAGAATCTGTTCAGAAACTTCATGCACAGATTTATATAAATCATTGTAAAAGGCAGAGAAGAAACCATGTATTCAAAAATGATGGACTAGGCTCCCCCAAAGTCACCCATTATCCCTTTATTAGTAATTGTGTTTGAATTACTGCCTGTACTTACAGGACTGAAAAGCACCTCAGCATGTGAACTGGAATATTTCGCACATAATTCCATGTACTAACAGCCAAGTTCACTCAGGATGCTCTCACTGGAATGAAGAACACAGATATAACAAGACTGTAGTTAGGGTATTATGCATCTATCTGTAGACAGCCACAATTGGAAGTCCTTTTTTACCTTTGTCAAAATCAATTTGATGAACATTTTGCCTGTCACTTTAAGGTGGAGTGGGAGCAATCATCAACAGTCTTAAGAGCACTAAGGGTTTGATTTTAGGCTTGTGTATCAACATGACAGATCATTCCCCTATTCTTCAGATGCACTGGCTTTGTACCTACAAAATCTAAGCGTGATGAATTATACTTCTTTGTAAGACATTCCTTTGATGTTGTCTCATCAACTATGCATTCATTATTAATAAGGAATAATAATTGCTTGTTGCACATCATATAGTATTTTAGTATTATGTAGTATTATATAGTACATACAGTATTATGATGTGCAGCAACCAGTTATATTAACAAAGGCTTCCACCAAACCAAATGAAAATCAGACTTATACTTTCATTTGTATTTAGTGATGTTGGAGGTTCTCTCAACTTCAAGGGCATGTATTTTTATTATGAAGTGCATACAACTTAATTGATATAACTTACATGATATATTTGTTATATAGGGAATCCTGAAAGACATTTTAGAGATTAGATACATTATTAGAAGGCAAATCTCGCCTTGCCACATAAAATTGCTCAGCTCGGTGAGGTTCAGGATATTTTCCTAGGTTTTTACCTACAACTGAAGATGAGTGGCAGCAAGGCAGTCTTTTCGTGCTTTTTTTTTTTCAAAAGTCCTTTCAGGAGTTAGAAGGTGATATCCCTCTTATTTATCATGAGACCACATATGCAAGATCTGAAAAACACAAGATCATGTGTCTGAGTTCACAAGATCACCTTTACCATAAATTTAAGGACTTTTGAGCATTAAAAAGTAAATTATAATTATTTATTTTGTATCTATTTATACACTTATGTGGATACCAGAATGAAACCCACCAACCATTTGGGGCATGGACTGAGTTCAGAAAGTCAGGCTTGGCATCAGGTACCTTTACCTACTAAACTCTCTTGCCAGCCCATTTCCTGGAGAACTTTAACCAGTTAAACCCCTGCTTACACACTGACCACACATCTATATTGTGATAAATCACAATTTTAAAAATGAAGCTAATGAGGCTGAAAAGATTGCTCAGCAGAAAAGAGCACTAGCTGATCTTCCAGAGGTACTAAGTTCAGTTCCCAGCAACCACAACCATCTATCATGCGATCTGATTCATATACATGAAATGCATAAATAAATCTTTAAAAAATGAACTCAAAACCTGTATGTTCCTAAGAATTCACATTGTAGAAGAGGATTATGATGGTGGTTTTTGGTGTATAGGAGGTTGGAGAGAGTGTGGAGATATGGGGTAAAGGATACATAATTTCAGTTGCACAGGAAGAATCAAGAGATCTACTATAGGATGGTTATGACGAAGAATTTAACAATGTTTTGCATTATTTAAAATTGTTGCTAGAGTAGATCTTAGTGTTGTCACCACAAAAATGTGCGATGTAATACATATATCGACTTGATTTCATCATTTTAAAACATGTACATATTTCAGCTCAATATGTACTATTCCAGAGATATTTTCAAACTATATGTGTGCAATTTCAAAAATAAAAATAATTGTTTTCTTACAGACTACATATCAAATATATCAAATTTCACCTCTATAGTAACTTGTAAGTCTTGCATGAAGACAGTAGATTTTAGTATCTGAAAAGGAAGAATAGAGAGAAAAGTCAGTTTGAAAGGAATTAAGTATAGTTATGACTGAATGTCCTTCCATTGCCTCTCATATATATGCTATTTTGGAAATAAAAATATGTCTCTAACGTTTTAACTGGTCTTCTTTAATATGGTAATAAGTATGTAGTTTCTTCATTTAATATTTATGAACAAGTATTTGGTGAGGTCCTATAAGGTTGTTTTAAACTCCTAGTGATATAACAATCAATACAATAGACAGAGGTTTCTCTGTACTATTAGATCTTAGATAAATGAGTTAAACTGGCTTAAACAGCATCCCAGACATACACTTGCAGATCTTTATTAAAAGTCTATCTAGGGAACAACTGGACAGGCTTCTTTTTATTATTTGCCTTTAAGATGAAATTTAGAAAGCTTCTTTCATAGTGGGACAGGTATATCTGTGGATTGCATTTTGTAAGTTTTCTCTTATGTTCTCTTTTTGCCACTGTGTAGTTGCAGTTTTCTTTGGGTCATAAACAATCTCCCAAATAACCATATGGAGACTTCTTGTTATTAACTATGAAAGCCTGGCCTTTAGCTTATGCTTGTCCCACTAGCTCTCTTAACTTGATTAACTTATTTCTATTCACCTGCATTTTGCCTCAGGGTCTTTGTCTTTCTTTCATTTTCTAGGCCCTGCCTTATTGCTTCCTCCAAGTCGACTGTCAGTCTGACCTCTGGAATCTCTTTTTTCTTTCTTCTTTCTCCAAACCTAAACTCCTACTACTACTTACTCACACTGCCAGGAAATCCTGCTTATGCCTCCTTCTTAGCTATTGGACATTTAGCTTTTTATTAGACCAATCATATGCTTTAGGGAGGCCAGATAAACAAATGCAACACATCTTTACATAATTAAACTAATGTTCCATGACATAAACAAATGCAACACATCTTTCCACAGTTAATATTCCACGACACTGTTCCTACTCTATTATGTGGAATTGCAAACAGAGAATTTTGATCTTTGAAAGAGAAAGAAGCATCCAGTCAATTGCTGTTCACTTTGTTCATCCAGCACACTGCTACACTCCAGGTAACAAAAATTACTGACATTACTTTGGGGGCAATATCAGATGTCAAAAATCAAAAGTTCTGATGATGTCAATTATTAGAGATGATGTATAAAAAGAAAACTCTTCTACACTGCTCCTGGGAATGAAACTTTCTGACTTCAGTTAACCTACTAATATTTTATATATGGGATATTATGTCTAAAACCATCCTTGAGGCATAGACTCTATGCATATTCTGAAGTGTTTGGATGCATATAATTGTTATGGGTTTGTTCCTGTTGATAGGGAAGTGAATCAGAGGCAGCAGACTTAACTTGTGGAGAGAAATATCTTTAGAGTATACAGGCACTTTATAAAGCGGAGCTGAGTGGACAAGCATCAAAGCAGCGTGAACACTATGTTCTAAATGTAGAACAAACCACAAACAGAAGAGTCTCTGACAAACAGTCAGATGACAATGAGAAAGAATTTATGTGGGTCTTTATTTTTAAATATTCTTATTTATTCTTTGAAAATTTCATATATGGATATGATGAATTCTTGACTTAACTCACCATCACTGTCTTCTCCTATATCTATCTGATATTCTTCAAGTTATCTCCTTCCCAAATCCATGTCCTCTTTTTAAGTTATTATTATTATTATTATTATTATTATTATCATCATCATCATTAGTTCAAAGACCAATTAAAAGTTACATATGTTACAAAGAGGAGCCATGTTTTCTCCTGATCATGAAACTAGGTCTTGGTATGACTTCACTTATGTCTTCTTTTTGTCAGCAATGACTGTTTTCCTCTCCCTTGGGAGTTACATGGAGAGATCTATATTAGTCAGAATTCTCCAAATGAATGGAACTGACAAAATAAATATATTTTAAAATGGATCTGACACCATTGCCATCCTCAGGCACCTGATCTCCTGTACACAAAAATACACCTATACATTTCAGAATACAAAATTTTAGATATATACGAAATTATATATCTAAAACTATTATACACACACATACACACATGTAATAAAATATTAACTATTATTACTGAGGCAGATATATTATTTTCTAGATATATATGACTTCAGCTTTAACTAAACATTTACAATAGCGAAGTTAAGGTGAATAGAAACTGAGTATATAGATATAAGGGAAGGTGGCATAGATGACAGTGTACTGGCACAGAGAGCTCACCCTTTGTCATATAGTGAGTTCAAGTCATTATGGAGTTCAAGTCATTATGGACTGCATACAACCAAGTCTCAAAATTGAAAACAAAAAAAGGTGAATGAATAAGTTACTAGTAATAAATAGTAATATGACAAATTATTAAGTAAATACATAAGACATAATAAAACAGGAATATCGATGAATAGATATAGATGTACATATAGATTTTTTGAGATCGGGTATCTCTGTGTAGCCACCCTAGTTGTCCTGGAACTCACTCTTGTAGGCAAGGATGGGCTTAAATTCACAGAGATCCACCTGCCTCTGCCTCCCCAGTGCTGGGATTAAAGGTATATGCTGCCACAGCCCAGCAGGAAAATACTTTTTAAAGGCAGAAAAATTCAAAATTTTATTTCTTATAGGGTCATAATTGTAGAATAGCATTTAGTGAGATTTTTCTATCACTTCTACACTCTTGTTTGGTGGATAAGATTAGAAAAAGAATGTATAGATTTCTGTAACATATTGTTTTGAAAATTTTCAAATCTTTAATAAACAATTTATGGGTATAAATATAAACAATGCAGTCTTCCTGTGGGAGCTCACTGGATTTCAGGTTTCCTTGTGCTTCCCATTCTAGGCACGGCTGACATCCTCTGTTTCAACTTTAATAGGATTTTGCAATTTACCCTCTAAGATTTTGATGAAAGCTTTTTCACTCACTGAGCAGATTTATGAGACAGACATTTTTCTCTCATTACGTCAGAAATGGAGATCATAAAAATAACCAGAATGTCCCCCAGATGTGGAACATGCTCACTTTAGGAAGTGTACTCTCAAAGCGAAGGCTGGCAGGTTTCTCATTGGAGCAGAGGAGTCGTTAAGGATTTCCTTTGCTTCTGTGGACCGGGTGCTGTAGAACGCAAGTGAAGTGGGAATGAATGTCTTTGAAACAAGCATCTAATTAGCACTCTGGAATTGACAAGCTAATCATTTCTTATGTCAATAAACAAATATTGCTTCCACTCCAGAGATGCAATGGTAAGTGGGGACCAGTGAGCTTACACACACAGGTTCTACAGTTTAATTAGGAAAGCAAGTCTTCAAAGGACACTTAAAGTGTGAGAAGACAGATTATGTCAGAAAAGCCATAATGGTTATCTTCCTATCAGCAAAGGGACTGTGTGACAACTGGTATTTGACACCATTTTCAGTTGTTACTTCAATTGCTTATCACCCTTGTATTGGGTTTATCTTGTAGCTAATTATAAGGACTCACATGACAAAATAAGATGTAAAACATAGTCCAGGTTCATCATAGTACTCTGCTTTCACCTCTCCAATAATTAGATATATTTACAAATAATCTGCTTCTCCATGACAGTTTTTAAAGTTTATAAATAGAACTAAAATCATCTTATATTCATTTGTAGATTATTTTCCAGTTGTTTTAATCTTCAAGATTTTCTTGAAGGACATCATTTGGTTTGAGACACAAAACTTTCCCATACAAACACTGGATTGTCAATTCATGACTATTGGAGATTACCAATATCCTAAAGTAAAAAATCTTTACACTCGATGCCTTCAAATATGCAACATCTAATTATAATAAATGTCTTTTCTTTGAAATATTCAGTGACCTCCAGGGCTACTGGTACACAGTTTCCATAATCTTTTAAGCAATTTCTTCAACTTGAGGATATAAGTAGATTTCAGCTTTGGAGACAGATTAAAATACCGTATGTGGGAAATAGTTATTGGAAGAATAAAAAATATCATACCTGCTTTTAAAATAACACACTGTTCAGTATTCTATAATAGCAATGCTAAATTTCTATGCAATTAATGTCGGCTTCATATTTGCATGACCTGTATGATAGTTATTCTATTATATAAAAATGACTTTACAATTAAATCCATGGCACATTCATTGAGACATAAATAGCCTTTGGCTTCACTCTTCTTCAAATTAGCCATATATTATAGCTTTACATATTCTATAAGATGTTTCTTTACCACTGATTTCTACTCTATCATCATATTCAGTATTTTTTTTCAAAAGTTACTAAAGGAATGATTAGTTATAATGGTCAATTACAATTTTACAATTTTATGAAGAATATGTGATGGCTTTGATAATTAAAGGTCTATTATGCGTGCACAGTATACACTTATGTTTATGCTTCTAACAGCGATTCCTCAGCAGGTGTGCATACCTATGTGTGTATTTTCCTTTGTATATTTTCCTTTATGCTATTAAAAATTCTGTTTTTCTTAAGAAATGTGACCACTAATTTATGTCATACCACCAATTCTAAGACATTTAATAGCCCCATAGCTACTGCCTCATTTCATGTTACACCTAGAGTAGATTGGGCATTTTCAATTGTGATTAATATATCTAGGCACAGAGAATTTCTCAGTGGATCAAACTTTTATAGCACATAGCAGTATTATTATTTCTGGATAGAAGCTGAACTGGTAACTCTTTCAATTTGTTGCTCGTTCATTTGTTGAGTCAAATAATTCACCAAATGTCAAGTCATTCCCTCTATGAATCTTTGGTGAGGTAGAAAGGAAAATTCACTCTAGGTTGAACAATGGTTTGTGTGGCACAATGAGTTTTATTTTTATTTTTTTTACCTTTTTCACTAAATTTAGTAAGATTCCAGAAGAACACTTAATTGACAGGCTGAAGGCAGTGGGACCACCTAAAATGATAGATCAATGAAGAAGGAAGTCTGAGAAGGAGGAGCCACAGGCTTCTGTGACTCAGCACAAGGTATCACATCCCCTTTGCACTGTGGCTCTGTACACACCAGATCTGCCGGTGATCTGCAAACTTTTTAATTGAGTTCCTTTTATACAAATAAGCTCACTTCTATAGGCACAGTCTGCAATGGTGATATAGAACAAACTTAACTTGGATTTCACTCCAACCACACAATATGAGTGGTTGCAAAATCAGACAGTCTCTCTAACATAAGTATTCTAGACAGACTGCAAAATTTAAGTCTAGCTATGCAAAGTGATTTTCTTGTTGGTTTAGTATTGCTTCCAAATCAAGGTCTCCGCCAGCTCGGTAATTGCATGGAATAATCACTCTGTAACTTTCACCAATGTAGAATATGAAACTCATTTCCTAATTGCTAAAGGTTTCCATGCCCAGATCTTTATTTCCTAATGTAAAACCTGATGTGTTTTAAATTTGATTTTGTAATTCACTGAACTTAATTTTTTCTTCTTAATTAGGCACTAACAAGTAATGTAATATGTGATTTATGTCTTTCAAGCACTTTATGACATGAACCTACATGATTTTCCTGATACCAGAGGGGGAAACTTGAATGTCCTTAGGAAAAAAATATATGAATCAAGTGAAAGTTGTGTCCTTTTGCCACACTTTTAATGTGAGCTGGCTGAGTACTCCCAAACTCTCATCAATTTCAAGTAATAAGTAATAATTCCTTTTTGTTGGCTAGGGTCAGGCATATAACATCTTTTAGGCAGCTTATGTTCATTGTCATTTTTTCATGGCTCTGAATTTGCCCCTTTAAAAATGCAAAGGAAGTATTTCTGTTGGGTATAATTTTCCATGTTTGTTGTGTTAATTAAAATAAAAACAATCAAAAGGTTGTATTAGTTTCATGAATGTTATTTACTTTTTATTGAACAGAAATAATAATATATTTGGGAGTTAAATGTAGGCTCCACTCACTGCTAAGAAAAACTCATGTTTCTCCTTTCTATTTTCCTCAGACAGGGAAATTTTAATTTAGGACAGAATTTAAAACACTGTTATATCATATAAATTTGGGAGCTGGTCCTCAGAACAAAGAGCTGTAGGCATGG